GCTCCATACTTTCCGAGACACACCTACGCGGCCTGCCCGCCTGCGTCGTGCTCCTCGGCTCCATACTTTCCGAGACACACATGCGCGGCCTGCCCGCCTGCGTCGTGCTCCTCAGCTCCATACTTTCCGAGACACACCTGCGCGGCCTGCCCGCCTGCGTCGTGCTCCTCGGCTCCATGACCCCCGAGTCCACCTCTGCTCGGCCTGTCCGACTGAGTCGTGCTCCTCGGTTGCATGTTACTCGGGACCATGCATGCGCGTTCAGCCCGCCTGCGCCGTGCTCCTCGGCTGCGTGTTGCCCGAGACCTGTGCAGCCTGCCCGCCTGCGTCGTGCTCCTCGGTTACACGTTGCCCAAGACCACGCCTGTGCGACCTGCCCGCCTACGCCGTGCTCCCCGATCGCACGCTCTCTGAGACCCCGATCTCTGCTCGGCTTCCCGACTGAGTTGTGCACCTCGGCCCCATGTTGCCCGAGACACGACCGCGCGGCCAGCCCGCCTACGTCGTGCTCCTCGGGTCTACGGAACCAACCCACCTGAAGTAAGAAGCCATGCCTCGGACCCCCTGCGTACGACAACCGACGCATAGCTCCTTTACGTCAGAGGAAACAGGCATTAACGTCGACTTAATATGCGCCAGCGTCACCCGCTCCCAGTCAACGACTCAACCGTCTGACCCTGCGCGCTCGGCCAAGGTAGAGGAGGACGTCGGCCGAAGCTCGCCCATACCCTGCGGCAGTTCGGTTCTCCACGTAACCCCAGTGGCAATGTCAGACGCCATCGGAAGTACGGTCCTGCTCCTGCTGGCAGCCACATCAGGTAACATCAAACCCATCCATAAATACCACCGAGTTCTAGACAAACGGAGGGGGCAATAACACATACGGAGGGAGAAGCACTTCTTCATCCAAAACTTCACTCCACATCACTGACTTGATCGTCGGAGGGGTCGGGCCGGGGTTCCGACTCGACCTGTGTGCAGGTGCTGGACCGAAGTCGTCTCTACCTGGCGCTGCGGCGAAGCTTTTCTCTCGATCAGACCACCGAGATCGGCCATCCGGGGATCCCGTGGGACGTCGCGCTAGACCCCGTCATTCGGACCCCAGAACAAGCCGCGTCGGTCCCGAGGCCACGGCTAATAAAGTTGTTTACACCAACACTGTTTCGTCCGCCATGACTTGGTAACCCTACACCGTCAGCGTTGTGCTTGAATTGAATCAGTTGACAAGTTGGAGGGTAAATAATCCATATTCTGCTTTTTTAATTATTTTATAGAGTTATGTTAAATTAATTTTTCATTTAGAAAGCTTTATTCAAAGAGTCCACCGTGGTCGGACATTACCGAGTCCACTGAACCCTCCCCGCGCCCCCTGTCGACGAGACAAATGGGATGAGATTGTTTGACCACTGGAAGACGACGTTGACCGGCGGCCCTCTTCATGCAGAAGAGGAGAGGGCGATAAATAGATGGATTCCGAGTTCCCTGCAGCAGAAAGCTGGTCATGGGTCGCAAGCTCCGCAGCCTCGTGGGCGCCCTCAAGGACACCGCCTCCCTCAGCAAGGCCGCAGCCACCGCGGCCGCTTTGTCCCCCTCCTCTGCCGCCCAGCTGGCCGTCCTACGCGCCACCACCCACCACCCTGCCGACGAGCCCCCCCACCCCCGCCACATCCAGGCGCTCCTCTCCTTCGGCCACGGGTCCCGCCTCTCGGCTGCCTCCGCCGCCGGCGTCCTCGCCTCCCGCCTCCGCTCCACCGGCGATCCCGCCGTCGCCTTCAAGTGCCTTCTCGCTCTCCACCACCTCCTCGCGCGCGGTGCCTTCATCCTCCGCGACCAGCTCCCGCCCGCCCTCCTCCGCCACCCCGCCTCCGGCCGCAACCCCCTCGTCCTCGCCGCCTTCCGCCACGGCTCCTCCTCCGCCGCCTCCTGGGCCCTCGCCTCCTGGGTCCGCTGGTACGCCCGCCTCCTCGAGCTTCTTCTCTCCGCCTCCGTCCTCCTTGTCTCTTTCCCCACCGCCCATCGGCCCTTTGCCAAGCCCGACGACGACGACCGGGAACGGGTCACCTCCCTGCTCGACCAGGACCTGATCTCGGAGCTCGACGCGCTCGTCGGGATCGTCGAGGAGATGGCCGGCGTACCGGAGATGGTCGCCGTCGAGGGCAGCAGGCTCGTCGCGGAGGCGGTGAGGCTGGTCGAGGCCGATAGGGTGGCCGCCGAGCACGAGATCGAGATCCGGGTCACGGAAATGGAGGGTCGACTCGGTTCACTCCGCTTCGCCGATTCGGTCGAGTTAGTCTGCTTACTGAGGCGGTTGGAGAACTGCAGGTATCGGCCGTGGGATCGCAAGCCGACGGTGGGAGATTGGTTCTGGGCCGGAGTCCGGGACTTGATGGACCGGGCCGAGAAGGTGGTGCTACGGAAGGAGGAAGAGGAGAGGCGGGTGAAGAGAGAGAAGGCGAGCGCGTCGGCTCGTGCATCCGACCGCATTCCGGTCGGGTCCAACCAGGCGGTACGGTTCGGATCGACAAGGTGGGCGGACCGCTGACGAAGGCTACGTGGAGGACCCCAATCCCATCCAACGATGCTTTTAAATGGGCTCTTCCAATTCCTCATCTCGATCGTCCGATGGTGCATAATCGGAGTGGATCCGTGTCCAGCGTTGTAAATTGATGGAATTGTAAGATCCATAGGGGGCGGTGGGATTGTTGTTCATTGGGACAAAAAGGTGAGAGTTTAATTTTTTGTGTTAGTAGAAGGCCATCAAGGAGTGATGGCATAATAGTGTATATAATAAGAATGGTGGTTGAGCTTGTTCTAGAATATGACATTTTCTTTTTGATTGGTTAGAATTGATGCAACATCTCATGTTCCAACATCATTCAAGTTTGAAGCTGGGAAGGCAAGTTTTCTTTTTATTTATTGAAACCTTAGTCTAAAGTTATTTGTTTTAGTGCCTATTATGATTCTGATTTGTTTTTCCTTTTTAATTTTCAAAAGTAAATCTTTTCATATGTGCTGTTACGAACATATAAATTCGCCAAACTTTTTATTTGAATTTAGACATCGGTGATGTAGATTTTGTTGTTGTTGATGATATCATAATGATTGATGCAGTTGTTTCAAGATCTGTTTAGTTTTAGGCTGGAAAACCAAGTCCAAATGATGACTTGGTAATCAACTAAAGTAAATCTCTCTTTCATCAAGAAAAATGTTTCACAGATTAGTTCAACATATATAAACCATGCGGATAATGACCGATTCAAATCTGCAAATCCAATTTCTGGGAAATTTTCTGCAGTTTCTTGTACTTGGGCGGCAGTAAAAGTGAAGTGCTGTGTTCTATCAGGAAGAGAAGTCCATCTAAATGATGCAAACGTTTCATCAACTAGCTTTGAATTCTTCGACCGCTCGGGAATTGGCAATTGCTGTCAGAAGAATTTTGGATCGGGATAAAGTTGTGTCTGAGAACAAAAGGCAGAAATTATAGCGTTGACTCAGCAGTGACACGTGTTGTGCGATGGGTACAAGTCTTCGAGCCTCGGGAGGTCTGTAAGTCAACGATCAGAAGGTTTCCGTGGAGACAGCTCGCTCCTCCATGTTTGCACCGGCAATAATTGGCCTGAAATGAAAGAACGATGCATGAATCTTATAGGACACGAGTTAATGATGCTGAACAACATGAGAAGGATGAATTGAAATTTCTTAGCTTGCAATCCCACCTCTTTATCCCACTCACATCCGATGGTTAGGAAGAAGCTGGAGGAAGAGGAAGAAGGAGAAGATGAAGAAGAGAAGTTATCATCACATCAGAGGACTACTTTTCCATCTGCTTGCTGTCCATGGACATGCTTGGCTTTGAATGAAAAGGAAAGCTTTCATATGCAGAGATATTTCCATCTCTATGGCGAAGGCTGAAAGGTGCAGATGAAGAAAAAGTTTGGGTTCTTTAAATGCTCCCCCCCCACCTACTTGTAGTGTTGTTTCCTGTAGTGACCTAGTTGGCATCTCCTGGATTCCCTAGCAAAAGACAAAGTCTGTTCTTCTTCTCTACCTCTGCAGATTTATTCCTCATCTCTTGGACCTTGAAACCTAAGACATCCCCTTCTGTGGTCATGCAGGCAATTTCCACCCTCCAACTCTAAGGATGCATGACAAGTACTTATTTTTTTTCAGAATAACTAATAATTGTGTATAAGCTCTATAGCTCATTTTTCAGTTAATATAATTGTAGAAATATCCTGTGTAAAAGATGAGCTACATGGAAATATTATTTATATGTATATATAGAGAGAGAGAAATTCATATTCAAAAACTTCATATATGAATACACAAGAAAAGAAAATGATACAATTAATCGAATAGAAGCACACAATGAATATAATCTCCACATCATTTTGTATTTCTTGACAAATATAATTTATTTTGCTATTCTAAATGGTTATTTTTGTTTTGAATAATGAAGATATTGTCACTTATCCTAAAGAGTGACACAAGTCACTTCAAATGGGATTTTCCAGTGTTAAAGAGTTTAGTTGGGCTTGGGCCAGCTTGACTAAGATACGGTGCTCCGTTTGGATCTGTCGGCAGAAGAGACAGTGTGATGATGATACAGATGCTCGCTCGTATCGTCGCATGGCAATATCGATCTCTGGTGTCATCATGCGACAACGGAAACCCAAGTCAACGATGGCATAAAAGTTGACCCACGCCCAGGCAGCAGAGAGAGGAATCAGCGGGCGGATGGACGTACGTGGGATGGCACATGTGGAACACATGCACGACCCACGTGATTCACACATACACACGCACGGACGCATGCACGCAGCCCCTCCCCGGCGGTCGTGGAACGCATCCCTCCCCCTCGGCTTCGTCCCGCCCGGTACGACGTCCCCGTTTCCCCCTTCTCTTCCTGCTTGCCGCGGGACAGCACGCAGTACGATTCCGACGTTTAAGGTTCCCAGAACGAAGGCCAGTGTCCTGGCCGCTCTCGCTCACATGTGGAGGGGCGGAGGAGGTAAAAGGGAAGAAGACATCCGTAACGTTGGAATCAGGAAGACAGTGAAGCAACGCCTGAAATCATACGTGGGAGTGTCGTGGAGCTTGTTTCCTTGCTGCCGTGGTGTGGGCTCACAAGCAGATGTTCTATTCTCGCCAGCAATCGGACACGCCACCTCCGTCCAGTGCCAAAGCTAATGAATGACAGATAGATCTCACAGCCTTTATACATCAGGTTTTGTTCTTCACCAGCATGATTCTTTGGTTGCAGGCATGGAGGGAAAGGCATACATGTACACCTGTGATTGGGGTCGGAAAGCAAAAGGGTCGCATGTCCAGCCAAACTTGGAAGTGACCGGTCATGACAGAGGAGAAAGCATCCCACACTCCTCAGCTCCGATACTGTACTCCGAGAGAGAGAGAGAGAGAGCTTGCGACAATGATCCATGGCCTCCCATCTTGGCAAGCCCGGGGCTGCACGTCCCTCCTCCGCGCCTTCTTGTTTTGTTTCTTGTGGAGGTACTTCGATGGGGGTCATGTGTGGGGAGTGGCGATGGAGGAATGGGGACATGAGGGTAACAGTGAAAGAGGAGGGAAAAGTGGAACCAAGGCATTGATGGAAGGAGAGTCGGGAGACAAAGTAAGACAACTTTTGGCTCTCCCCCTCTCTCTCTCTCTC